GTTACAAATCTCCCCCACTTAAATTTGATTACGTCCTCGAAATCGCTCCTTACTAACACTCATATCAAAACAAACAACTCTAAATTAGACTTCTACTTTTCTGACATCTTAAATCTATAATGATCTAACTCCCCGACAGACCGCCCATATTGAAACAACTCCAAGCCAAACTCTCAATGAATAAAAGACCAAACATACCACTTCTAACCCTGATCATACAACGGCCTATCCAAATCTACTGAAACCATCCTTAGAATAGTTCTTCAAGCCCGACGAAGAATGACTCATCAATCTCTTAAATAAAAACCAATCCTACATCACCTGAAATCTGAAACCTAAAGTCCCAATGGTCTGACTCCCTGTCATACCTCCCATACCGAACCGCCACCATGCCAACCCCATAGAGTTTCTTACCACACGAAATGCTTCCAACCCTCGATCACATTGTTGCTTCAAAGGGAACAAAGTCACTGACTATATACAACTACATAACACTTATACTCGACAAAAGGCTCAAATAATCCTTCAAGTAGAATATTTATCCCTGCAACGGTTAGACTCAAATGAGAGCTACGCAACAGGGTCAAATCAATTACTCGACTTTTTCTTTTTTAGAATAAGAATTCTTTGGTGTAAATTTGTCTATTGTCTCTTTGTCCTCAAGTATTACCATAAATCTTTGAATTGCGATCTTTGGGATTCTTGCTTTATTTGAAACTCTTATATCAGACATTACATATAAGATCATCATATGTCTAGTCTTAGCAATTCTATAGGATTTCTAGTTAACTTCTAATTCTTTTCATCAATTTAAGTGCAATATGCATATGGGTAAGGTTTGTGATGTTATCATTATCAATTTACATGTCATGTTTTGGTTAGCTAAATGGAAAAAAATTGATAGACTTGCTCTACTTTTTCTTTTGAGTAAATTACACAAATGGTCCCTATAGTTTGAAGTAATTTGAACATTTAGTCTCTAACTTAATTTTTTGACTCGGAAGGTCCCTATAGTTTGTTTTTGTTGCACGTTTGGTCCCTATCTTACCTAAAAAGACTATTTTTACCTTGGTTTTTTTTAATTTATTTAAATAAGGTGAAAATACCCCACACTTGACATTTGCTTGCCCCCAAGCAAAACTGAATTTTAACACACTAATATCACATAAGACAATCCCAATTGAACACAACCATTATGCCAAGACTGCAACGCATGCATTTGTGTCTAAATTTTTCCTAAGGACCCTCATAATTCTAAATACAAACAATCCTCATAAACACTCGCCCACTTCTTTTGAACAACACTCATTTTATGCATCCCTCCGAATCCATCCCCATAAAACTTTCTTAACCTAAAGTCATTTTTGGTTAAACCCCCAAGCACACATACGATAAAATAACCTAGAAAAGAAATGTACAATGCAAATAAAAATACTTGATACTAATTCCTTTAGGTTTTTAGTTTTTTAGGTTTTCTAAATTAACCCTAGCAATTTTAATGCAAAATTTTTAAAATTATACCGAAAATTAGGATTCTAATTTCACAAATTTAACTAATATAACCAATCCCTACCCCACACTTAATTTATGCAATGCCCCCATTGCATGTTATGCATGATAAATAAAACATAAAAATAAAGAGGGAATTGTAACAAACTCCCCTAGGATAGTAGTTGTGAGGTCGGTCTTCTTCTTGTTAAGCTCCATCTTCAATTGACTTAAGGCATGGGAACAGCTCATCCATGACTTGGGTGACAAAATCTAGTGTGGTACAACTCCTAATGTAGTGGAAAAATCTTCTTGGAATCGCCTAGAATTGGACTTCAAAATTTAAACAATGCCCGCGCCGTATAGAATCTAATCGAAGACTCAAAAATAAAATGACTTAGCAACACGCCGAGTTGATAGTGGAGAACTCGTCATGTTGGATCATAACTTGGGCAGAAATCACATTTTGCCTCTGGAACTCGTCGTATTGTATGTATGCACTCGACGAGTTTTTTGGCTCTAATCAGACAAACTCTTCTTTCTGCTTAAGTTCTGATTTGGTGTTCAAGGAGGGTATTAGTGTAATACACCTCCTCTATTTCTTCAGCAACGAGACTCCTTTTAGCAATTATAAACATCGAACTCAACATATCGACCAATGTCTTCTAATCTTCTCGTCTACGACTCAACCCCTCGTTTTATTTCCCTCACACTTTAAGAAATCGCTCTAATATCACCCTAACTTCTACAAAGATCAAAGACAAAAAAACTACATAATAAGAGGAAAACAAACATCAAATTAGCATTCCTATATTACTCTAATAGACTAGAAGTTTAGAAACAAACCAAACTAAACACACAAAATAAAAAGAAAAAGAAAAAGAAAAGAAAACTCTAATGACGGGTTGCCTCCCGCAAGCACTTCTTTTTGTGCGAGTCTTGAGATGAACTCTCAACTTAATAAACTTCCAATGAACTCAATGTCAATCCATCCGTTGCATTGAATATTTTTTGGACCAATTTGTAAAATTTGGCTCTTTGCTTCAAAAATTGGCCAAATGAGCTTAAATTCATGTAACCCAAGAATCTTGACAAGGGTGGGAACCGGTCGGGTACTAATCAGAAATGGGTCGTGCCTCAGAACTACCTCCAAAGTTGGAATCGTCACCCCTTGCTTCGAAACACAAACTGGAAAAACAGGGGGCCGCGTCATGGTAACGGTCAAACCATGTCGTGGTTCCTACAACTCAACTAGTTCTTGTTCTTCGTCTGACCCCTCTGCCAGCAATCTTTCCAGCTCCTTCAAATCTCTTTCTGGATTAAATTCTTCATTTTGTAACTTTAGCTCTTGTGACTCATATTGCTCTTGTTTATTAGGTAAGATGTTATCTAACCATCTTCCAAATTTCTTCAAATCATCATCTGAGTCATACTCCTCATCTTCTTGCTCAATTTCTCATACTACTTCCTCATGAAAAGCATCAAGAGCATCGAGATTTGGAAAATACATAATAAATAAAAATTAAAATTAAAATTAAACTAAATATAAAAAAAATTAATTAATTAAAAACGACAACAATTAGCAAATAAAATTAACTATTTGAACCGTTCCCCAACAACAGCACCAAAAACTTGATGTGTGTGAAATGCACTAGTTTTAATCCTACTAACTTAGACACAAAATAAACACACGAAAGGCAGTGTACCTATCGATTAGTAATATAGTTCAAGCAAGTAGGGTATCGAACACAGGGAACGGTAAACAATTAAAATAAATGCTAATATTATCTAAATAAAACAAGTAATAGAAAGGGGGTTTTCTCTAGTTTTTCAAGACTAGAAACTTAAGCAGTTAAATTTCACTTAAACGAAGGCAATTAACAACTAAAGAGAATAGAAGATAACTAGATTCAATAATAAAAGAGACTTTTGTTCATATTCGACTCACTTATTCCTATGGTTGATTTCATGGAAAATGCAATGGATTAATATATAATTGGCTACCGATTAATGTGATTAGGTTCATGTTCACTATTAATAATCCTTAGAAAAAAAATCAATTTAAACAGTGGCCAATTGGTTAAACTAATGATTTTCCTAGTTTATTGATTCGGGTTAAGTAAGACTTGTAGTTAGCTAATTAAATTACTAATTCAATTAACTTCTTGTATGGTTGTTCATCACACAAGCTCACACATGCACTTACCTATTTTCTATTTAAACCCTAGTTTCATGTTCGCTATTCCTAGGCATATAATATTGTTTTCACATAAATTATATGAGACAAGCAATTAAGAGATGTTCATGCAACTTAATAGACTTGATAATTAATAGAACCTAGTCTACCCTAAACAGAAGTAATGAGTTTTTAGCTCATAACTACAGCAAATAACAAACTAAAAACAAAAACTAATGATTGAAACATGGTTCATGCAAAAGATTAAGATAAAAGTAATGTGTTGTAACCTTTGATCTTTTTCCAAATTGATATCTAAGTTGAAATCTCAAAAACCACAGCTCTAAGAACCCTCTAGCCTCCAAAAATCGTCCAAATCTTCCCCAATTAATTAGGGTTCGAATGAGAAGCGTTTCTATATATAAATTCTGAAAACAGAGCCAAATTGACAAGTTTGTGACCCAACTCGTCGAGTTATTCATTAAAATCCCGTGTACGGCAAGACATCATCGAGAATCGCGAACTTTCTGATCAACTCGTCGAGTTGAGGCCCAACTCATAGCGTTCTCTTGGAATCAACATTTTCCCAAAACATCAAAGTCGTTTGAAATTGTGTCTAGTTTTCAGAATATTTTGAATCTCATTAATTGGAGTTACGGTTCATGAGATATGGCTAAAACACTAACAAGGGGTCAAGCTGTCCAACAACATCCTTCTTTCTTCAAAATCCAAGATCCAAGCTTCCAGTTGCTAAATCCGCTTCCTTTTTCATCCGAGCATGTCATTGTTGCTGAAAAATGAAATTCTAAACTAGTTAAGCACCTTTTGTTCATTAAATGAGATAAAATCAACATAAATTATTAAGATAATATATAAATTATATGACTAAATATGTCCATATCAATAGGTAAGGTAAGGTAAGGTGAGTGGAAGTGGGGTTGGAGTATGTTTATTTAAATAAATTAAAAAATCAAGGCCAAAAAAGTCTTTTTAGGTAAGACAGGGACCAAGTGCATAACAAAAACAAACAATAGGGACCTTCCGAGTTTTTAAAAAAAAAGTTAGGGACCAAACAAACTACCCCAAACCATAGGAACCATTCGTGTAATTTACTCTTTTCTTTTTTCAATATGAATCTTCTGATGTTCAACCTTATAGATTTGCATCACTATCTATGATCTTCAGTGTTAAATATTTTTCAGGAGCTATTTCTTATTAGTTCAATACAATATTTTGTATTCTTAATGCATTTTTTTCTTTGTTCATCCAGAGCTCACTGTCGTTCAACTTAGCAAAAGGCCTTACAGGCAGGACATCTATATTTTAAATTTGAAATATGGCCGAGGTACATTGCTCTATCAAATATTTTGCTAGTTACACATTTCAAATTTACTATTTAAGATATGAAATAACCACTTGAAAATTTTCACTAATAGGAGGGTTACAAGGTGAGTTTGCACATGTATGATTTAAGTGAAGGCTTAGCTCGTCAACTCTCCATGTCGTTTTTAAAGAAAGCCATTGAAGGCATATGGTAAGCATCATAACCCCTCCCCCAACCTACCATGGAGCTAATTAAGCATTTGTTAACTTATATATAAAAACATGCATACAAGTGTGGTGGTATATAGTACTGAGTACTTTGTGGGGCTGGTATTCAACAAACTCCAGCTGGAATAGCACCATATGGGACCCCATTAAAAGTCAATGATCTTGGTGTCACCCATGTCCTAAAAGATGTCTTTCAGATGTATCTAGATGAGATTAGCCCCCGATACACACAAGAAAAGTACATTTTATTGTCACACAACTGTAACAACTTTAGCAGTGAAGTCGCACAGTTTCTGGTGGGTCTCTCCATACCATATTGCATCCTCAATCTCCCTAACGTATTCATGAGTGGCCCAATGGGTGCACTTATAAGTAAGTTCATCATCCTTTTTATCTTTTTAACTTTTCATGTTAAAGATGCATATGAGCTTTTATGGATTCTTATCTTACACATGAAATTTGGTATGAATAACAGCGCCTATGATACATAATTTAGAGACCATATTGAGGAATAAAACCCGAGATACCATTGGAAACACTGCTAAACCAAGAAACCCTACTTGGAAACGCCTCACACCACCCGAGATGGCTGAAAGGAGAGCTAAATGACTCTGCTTCAACTATGATGAAATGTTTTCGGCAGGACACAAGTGCTCTAAATTTTTTTGTATCATGCTAACAAATGATGATGAGGAAGGGGCAGATGTAATCATACCAGAAATTTTGTTGAATGCTATTACAGGCACTACAAGTGATAAGACCTTCCAAGTCTGAGCAACTATTTGGAATGGAGTGGCTTAGGTGTTGCTTGATAGTGGGAGCACCTACGATTTCATTGTTGCTAAAGTTGCAGAAGATCTCCAAATTCAATTGCGACATCAGCCAGGTTTGTGCGTTGCATTACCTGATGGTGGCAAAATGGCGAGCAACGGGGTAAGTCGTAACTTACACATGATGGTCCAAGGGTATGAATTCTCAGTTGATTTCTTTGCCATTCCATTAGAAGGATTTGATATTGTTTTAGGCATACATTAGCTTAAAATTTTAGGCCCTATATTATGGGATTTTACAGTTAGAGATATGGATTTCAAAGTTAATAATAGGCTAATTAAATGGCATGGTGAATCCTCGGAGCCAATCGCACTAACTGCCCTAGGTGCATCTGGAGATTTGGCACCCGACTTCGATGTCCTACTTGGTGTTGGATAAGGTGTCTAAGTCCATAATTATTTTTGGTATGTACTTGACCCGACCCGGCATGGTCCATTTGGGTTGCGTGGCACCATGCAATTGGATAGACTAAATGAGAGAATTAACACATATGGTTTATTAATATATTATAAGCTCTAATATATTAATAATATTATTTAATTAGTTTGATCAAGAATTAATTTTAGAATTAATTAAGTGATCAAAAGATAACTAATTAAATATATGGGTTGATTATGTAAATCATCCATAACTTATATAGTGGGCTAAGAGGCTCCATGGATAATCAAGTTGGGTTAAACCCATTGGATGCTCCATGGAGGCTCCATGGGAGTTACAAACCCATGGGTCGTGGAAATGAAGAGTCATGACACATTAGGGTTTACATGGTGTAACCCTAGATGTGTCAACACTATATAAAGCTTATGTTTCTCCCAAAATCAGTTAGACAAGCATACTTGAGGGTTAGAGCCAATTTTTGAGTGTTATACATTCTCTCCAAGTTTACTCCATAGCATTTGGTGTTGTGTGAAGCATTTGAGGCATCACACTTGGGGTGCTAGGCTCACAAGATTTCAAGGAACACTTACAACTACAAGGTATGTAATTCTATCTATTATTTATGTTAAAATTGTTCCCCATGTATGCTAGATAGGATCATAGCCTTGGAAATCAACTTTGCATGATAATTAGACAAACATAGATCCAAGGTTATTAGGATTGCATGTACACCTAGGAAGTGTTAGAATGCTCAAAACCCATCAATGGTATCAGAGCCTAGGCTTGTTTGTTTGTTATTTGTGCTAAAAAGTTGAATAAAGTCGAAAAGCTTGTTGTCTACCTGATGAACTCGCCGAGTCCATGGGGGACTCGCCGAGTTCACTTGTATCTTCAACCTACTCGCCGAGTAGGTTCATGCACTCGGCGAGTAGGAGTGATAGAGTGCAGATTTTCGACATTTGCTGATGGAAATGGACTAGAAACATTACCCTAAATTGTTTTGGTGTTATTAAACTTGTTTTAGATGGTGTAATGTTTGTTCTAATCCATTTACAATGGCATATATCAATATTTCATGATTATGTGTGTTAATATTGTCTTGAAACTTGGATATGGATATTCATGCTCTTGATCTTATGAATTTAGATGATCATAGGAATTACTTGTAACCTACTTGGTAGTTTAATTCTTGATCATAATGTGTTTTAATGGAGTCCATAACTTGTCCTCAAGTTATGGAAATCCAAGAGTCATCCTTGAATTAAAACCATTAAAAGAACACAAGAGTTAGAAAACTGAAGAGTCTTCATTTTTATTACTCTATTTAACTCATAAGTTACAAGAAATGAAAAGTTTTGAAAGTTTACAAAACTTGCCCTCAAGTTTTGGAACAATTAAAGTCATATTAAAAACTTTAGTTCCAACCCTTAGTTTTTTAAAAGTTAAAATTCTACCCTTATACTTATATTATTATGATTTAATATATATATATATATATATATATATATATATATATATATATATATATATATATATATATATATGTATAAGAACAAAGTCGTCTTACCGCTAGTACGCCTCATTCACGAAGCCGGTCTATAAGGTAGGTATAAGGTTGTTGCCTATAAAATGGCAACTTAATGGGTGTCCACTCTCACCCACCGCTTGCTTGACTGGTGGAGGGTCGTTAGCCAAACGGGTAAGACAAGGACTTATAAATTCTCATTAAAAGTATAATGATTATAAAGTAACTAAATGTTTTATAAATTCCCAATCATAGTTACTTTAGGAAAATTTTGAATAAGGTTCTAATCCATGAAATTACACTTTGCACCTTGTTTAAGTCGTTGGTGGAGCGTGTGTGGTTTACAGGCACACTAACTTGGACTTAACAAGGAAGGCAAAGGGTGACTTAAGGTTTTTTCATGAGGTCGGAAGGAGCGCGTGTGGTTTACCGGCACTACGATTAAGTGAAAAACATTAAGGGTACCAAGTAATTTGCATGGTTACTTCACACCTTGTTTTGTGATCCTCGGTATCCCAGTCACAAAACTTGAAGGGCACACTCGAGATTGAAACATGTCATTGAAAAGTTCAATGAATCTCAAAGAATCTAGGAATTTCTAAAAGCCAAATAAAAAAAAACTAATAATTTATATTTGGTTTTCATGGTGGAAATTGGTGAATCGTCATTCACCTACCTTTCAAATATGTTATAACTTGATTACGGCATCCCTCTTGTAGGTCATAATATATTGTGATTGGATCCTAGCCTTAATATTAAATTTGGGTTTTTTATTAAGGACTATCCCAATATCTCAACTAAAACTTTTCCTTCTTTTCAGATGTGTTCCAACAATGCTACTCCTAGCTCAAACCCTACAGGCTCCTTCTCTCTCATGAACCTTTATGGGAGAGCATCTTTGATGGATCTAACTTTATTGATTGGATCAGAAACATCAGGATGGTCACTCGTTACGAGAACAAGGAATATGTTCTTGACAAGGAGCTGAAGGTGCCTGAGCCAAATGCTACTCCTAAGGAGTTTGTTGAATATAAGGCACATGAAAGAGATGCTACCAAAGTATGTATCATGATGGCCACCATGACAGCCGAACTCCAAAAGTCCTATGAGGACTACTATACTTTTGAGATGCACCAGGATTTGATGGACCGCTACCATCAGAGTGCTCGTCAAGAGCGATATGAAATCATCTCCTCTATGATCACAACCCGAATGAAAGATGGTGAACCCATCACAAGCCACTTGCAGAAAATGCAAAGGTATGTGGACTGCTTGATGAAGTTGAATGTGAACTTCCCTGAGGAGCTAGCAATAGATATTATTTTGCACCCCTTACCTTCGTGTTATGATCAATTCCGCATGACATACCACATGAATAAGGAGGAAGTTACACTTAGCAAACTTCAGGGACTCCTAAAGACCGCAGAATCAGGTCTTAAAGGCAAGTCAGTTGTGACCACTTCTACTACTACTCCAAACTCAGCACCTGTCCTGGAAATCGGGAAAGGTAGAGGGAAGAAGAGAAAGAACCCTTCGAAGGGTACCAAGGGTAAGACCCTTGATGGCTCCTCTTCTAGCAGAACCAAGGTTTCGTTACACCTTCTAATGATCCCAAAGTGGCTGAATGATTCTACTTCCATGAAAAGGCGCACTGGAAGCGTAAATGCCCAAAGTGATGGGTTTTATGCATAAGAAACATTCCTATGTGCTCATACAAACCCTAATGCTTGGATCTAGGTTTCACTATTGAACATGCTTTGATTCCAAGACTTACAAACCCTAATCTAGCATATTGACAACAAAATTAACATATAGAATCAGATCTAGATGTTTACCTCTTCAAGAGTTGGCTTAGATCTTCTCTTTCTTCTTCTTTTAAGCCTAGAGTCACAAATGCAACTCCTCTAATGGTTCACAAACCCCACAAGCAAGAAGGCAATATGAGAGAGGGAGAGAGAGGCTAGAAATCGGCCTAGGGTACTCTTAGAATCAAGTGGTAGCCGAATTCAAAGCCCTAGGGGTCATATTTATACTTACAGGTTACTAGGGTTTCAATCTAAACCCTAATGGACAGCTTAGCCACCAAGCAGCCCATGGAACCTTCTGGAATAAGGCCCTTGGACGAAAATATGATGGTTACCCATCATAATTTCGTTCCTCCTTAAGCCCATTAGGTTCCTTAACCAAAAACTCAACTATCATACATTTGACAGTTTATACCCCTTTATTCAATTAATCTCTTTTGACCACTAAATTAATTCTTAATTAATTTATGATCAATACTAATTAAATAAATACGATTTCTCCTTTAATATATTACTCTTATAATATATTAATAAATCATAATACTCTCTCTTTCTCCTTAAATTACCTTGTCAAGTTGCTTTGGAGAAGGCAACCCAAAAGGACCATGCACAACCGGGTCAAGTACATACCAAATATAGTTACGGGCTTAGACACTATTCCAACAGTCTCCCACTTGGATAAGTCTAGTAACTATATCTCACATATGACTTCAGAATCCGATTAGCAATCGTAGCTCTTATACTTCGCTGTCAACTCTGATTAACTTGTCCTTTAGATAAGGGATCGTATAATCCTCTGTTCTGGATATCATGCTGACAATGCTTATTGTCCAACAAAAGTTCCTTGATTTCCGATTTGTTTGACATAGAATTTAGTTGAACACATCAACTTCATTCTGACCGGGCCCGGCACATAAGTCAAACCAAATCATCAAGTGGCCAATATATCACTTTTATTCTCATAGAATAAAAGGAACAAATCAACTTCAACTCATATGCATCTATTATTTACTAATGGATCACACACAATAATGTGTTTTATAACATCAAGTTACTGATGCGTTTACACATTATCAATGTATAACCAACTAGCAAACAACAACCATATCTCTACGTTTTAAGACTATATGACGTTATCGCTTTGCGATCACTTAAGATAAAACACCACCAAGTGATACAGCAAACTCGGGTTTAATCCAATGCTCAACTCATATTCATAAGCACTCATGAACTTTGCAGCAAACCTTTTCTATGTCTAAGACCTTTTAGACAATCTACAACCAATTCATGACAGTCTTCATTCATATCTACTTCCAAAATGGAAAATGGCAAGCCAAACTCTTTAACCTTCTCGTCAAAACAAAGATTCCATCTGCGAGATGCTTGTTTCAATCCATAAATGGATTTCTCAAGCTTGCATACTCTATTTGGATGCTTCGCATCGACAAAACCCTCTGGCTGATTCATGTAGACATCCTCAGCCAACTTTCCATTAAGGAAAGCGGTTTTCACGTCCATCTGCCATATTTCATAATCATGAAACGCAGCTATAGCAAGCATCACCCTAATAGACTTTATCTTCGCAACTAGTGAGAAGGTCTCATCATAGTCTACTCCGGGAGTTTGAGTAAATCCCTTCGCAACCAATCACGCTTTATAAGTATGCACTT